GAGCTGGCGTACGCTGAGGTTACCGCGGTTCATACGGACAGCGTTAGGAACGACAAGTCGAATTTCCTTCGCAAACTCCAGAAGCTTCTGCGAAGGCTCGCGTGACGTCGTGATGAGGACGCGCGGGTCTTCAACACCCGAGTGGGAGTACTCGTCATCTACAGTGGTCTGCAGTGTCCTTGTCTGGTTGTCGTCCAGCTCCGAGAACTTTTTAAGGGCCAAAGCGTCCTTGCGGAGGTGCCCCGGGAGCGGCGTGGAGTTGCTTACTGCCTCGCGGAACTGTTCCTTCCTTGCATGGATCGCCTCGTGAACGTGCTCGTTCTGCTTTCGCTCCAAGAACTCCTTGCGCTGCCGAATAACGCTTCGCCGCATGCGGTCGTCGTATTGCTATTTGCCGCAACGCCGTCCCCGTTTCTCACCCCCTCGGTTCCAGCTCTTCACTACACAACACAACAAAAAAACAAGGTGAAAAAGCACCAGCAAAAAACGTCCGGCTAGGCAGGGAAAAGGGGAGGTGGAGGCGGCAAACACACAAGTCAAATTCATAAATGTCATGGACGTGGCGCACACATTTCACTGCTCCAGCAAGAGCATCAGCTCCGGCGTCTTATCTCACTGCCCCGCGCACCTCGTTGCAGAGGAGGCAGCGCGGCGACCTCTGCCGCGTGTCCGGCCTCAGGTATTCCTCCGGGCACTTGAAGAAGCGGCCGACATCAACGTCAGCTGGCTCAACGAGCAGAGCACCCTCGCCAGCGAGGTAGCCAATCACGCAGTTGCTGTGGTACGTGTGAGAGCATCCGAAGACCACAACGCCCGCCATCGTTGGCTGGTGACAAAAGGGGCACATCGTCATTCCAGGTTCCACGCAAATTGCGGCCCCCCGTCGTCGGTATAGCGTCTGATATTGCTTCCCCAAGTCACTCGTCGCCACATGCACAACAGCCGTCATAAGTCGCACATCATTTGCCTTGCTCCGCGCTACGGCGGCGATGGAACTTCCCACATGCGGCATGGGCTCATTCTCCGGTAACAGCTCAACAACTTGTGCGGGGTCCAGTGTAACACGCCCGCTGATTGAGGGATCCACAATGGCACGCAGCAGCGCCTCCAAAAGGTTTAGCGGCACGATGCACGTGCCGCTCGCCGGGGCCACACGACTCATGTCACCGCCGAACAGCGGCGTCCCAGCGCCGTTTGCCATACGCAGGTCATTCTCATCGACACCATACTTTCGGGAAATGCTGTCCCACGTCTCCCCTTCTGTCACGCAGTGCTCAATGTACTTCTGCCCGTGGCGACTGTGAAGCATGGCGTTCACGTCCACACTCATCTGCACAAGGCTTTTGTAGAGCTGGAGCTGATCCTCCACGTTGGGGACGTCGGCAATGAACTGCACCGCCTTCCGCACGTTTTTCATTTCGTGAACAATAATGTGAAGGCCCTCCTCCTCCTTCCCCATCCTTGCGAGCAGGAAAACCATCTCCTCCAGCAGCTGGTGCTTTTTGCACAGCGCACATATCTCCCTCAGCTTCGGAAGGTGCGCTGAATTCTCACGCAAGAAAGCGAGCAGCCCAGATGGATTGTTCTCAATAAAGAGCGTCGCAAAAAGCTGTGCGTGCGTCTCCGACAGTGCAGCGTACACCGCCTTGTCTCGAGCCTGCAACGCTTTCAGGTAGAGCCACAGGTACCGGCGCTGTGTCCGCTCCAACCGTTGCACGACGGCCGCCGGCGAGAAACACAACCCCGACTGCAACGCTGCAGTAACGGCTCCGTCGTCCACGGCAGCGTCAGTAGAGTGAACATGTTCCACAAGAAGCTGAATGGTGCCATCCTCATTCCTAGCAAACAGCAAAGGCAACACCTCCATGGCCTTCGCATAAAGCCCCCATCAACATTCAATGAAAAAAAACGCCCAACAAAACATCTTCCTTCACCAGGACACAGAAACAGCAAAGAAAAAAAAACCAAAGTATTAACTGCGCACTAAGTCCTTGCAAAAGCGTGCAACCACACACCAAATAATAAAAAACACACGCAAAGTAACTAAAACATATGTATGTAAAAACTGCCGAGAACAAATAATATCACCAAGACCATAAAAACAATAGCACATCGCTCAAAAGCACACCTTGCTAAGCACTACAGGCAGCTCACCCGAAAAATATTTCCTTCCACACCTCCCCCAGCATAATATACACAACTCCAAAACGTTGAGGCGTCTAAATACATAATCTGCTCTACAAAAACAAGACATAGACGCA